TGCCTAAACACCTCAAACTTTATTCAACATATATTTCATGTTATAGTATCACGTTTAGAAACATATACGCTTCGCTAAAAAGAACTTTTACTGCTATTGAATGTATTATGACTAATACGTATATTTGTATATATATTGTATGCACATATAATATGTAACTTTGAATATGTCTGCATGGATGTGAGATTACGTAACATTCAAGAAACATTAGCATACACTAAGATTACTTAAAATTGGATTGCGATTGATGTTACATATTGCCGGCACCTAGATGCAATGTGCTACAGAAATTATAATAGAGAAATACTTTAATAATTTGATTGCTTATACATACACGAAGCTGAATGAAACTTCGATAAGATCCCCTTCATCCACTGACCAATCATTCCGCTGTCCCTTCCTGCAACATTTCACAAGACATGTAATNTGATTGTCCGGGGGGTATTTGTCCTAGAACTACACATATATATAACAATAACGTCGAGAATTTATCCGATCTAGATGTCATCTTATTAGCTTCATAACTGTACCTCAGCCACCCATTATAGGTGATCCGCCACTTTTTATGGGGCTGCACCGATTTAATGCTGAGTCCTCCTGCTACAAATGCATTAGCATCTGTGTTGTAAACTATCGTGTCGGGGAAAGAAGGATAGTGGAAGTAGCGTCCATCCGAGAGCTTCAGCATTAGCCATACCTACATTAGAATGATTTATTCAGTACACTGCGAAATAAATATAGGAATATCTAATGTAATGTGTGTTCTATATGCAATCACTCTTGAAATACGGAATCGAATCTCACTTGTAGAATTTAAGTAACTCTGAAAATAATTATTATTGGCACCTCAGCGCAGCGTTCTTTGCGTCTTCCAATTCTAACGACGAGACTGTTTCCTACTTTGTCGAAGCCATTGAAGTACACAGAGTCTATAGCCTAGAGTAATAGACACATGCATTGTAAATTTCGTATATCAAAAGTCGGAAGTCCAATATGTGGCTTCAGGTATATTACAAATGTTATATATCTCAATGCAACACACACACACGAATATGCACACATGCACGCACGCACGCACGCACGCACACACACACACACACACACACACACACACACACACACACACACACACACACACACACACACACACACACACACACACACACACACTAAATAAAATGAATAAATATATAAATATATACATGTGTGTGTGCGTGTGTGTGTGTGCATGTGTGTTGATGCTGGTGTGTGTGGTGTTGTGTGTGTGTGTGTGTGTGTGTTGTGTGTGTATGTGTGCATGTGTGTGTGTGTTCGTGTTGCTGGTGTGTTGTGTGTGTGTGTGTGCTGTGTGTGTCTGTCGTGCATATGTGTTGTCGGCTGCGTGAGTGTGTGTGTGTGTGTTGTGTGTGCTGTGCCCCGGCCAGTTGTGTGTGCGCGCGCGCGTGAGTGCGTGTGCGCGTGTCGTATCGTGTGTTGTGTGTGTGTATGTGTGTGGTGTGTGTGTGTGTGGTCCTGTGTGCATGTGTCGTGTGTAGTGTGTTGTGCTGTGCGTGTGTCGTGCTGTTGTGCGCGTCCGTGCTAGATACTCCTACGCACACCAGACTTTTCCCTGCGTGTGCGCGTTTGTGTGCCTGTGTGCGTGTGTGTGTCGGTGTGCGCTGCGCTGTCGTGTGCGCGCGGTGTGTGGGCGCGCGCGGTGTGTGTGTGCTTGTGTGTGTGTGGTGTGTGTGGTGTGTGTGTGTGTGTGTGGTGGGCCCTTGTGTGTGTGTGGAATACAAAATTAACTAGACAGAGGGCACTCAAAAGATGCAGTGCAGACTCTCCGCGGAGCGTTGTAACATGTATACATGCTGTATAACAGCTGGTCTCGCTGCTGGTCTGCTTCGACTGGATGCGTTAAGGCTGAGCTGCCACTCTTCTGACTGGACACACACCGCGAGGAAGATTGGCATGACTCCGTTGCAACGCGGAGGTAATTATTAATGCCAATGCTGTCGCCCGTCATGCAGATTTGTTACAACAAGAACTTGCGCAGCGCTATAATCAACAGCAAATCGACGGGGGGAAGGTTAAGGCTCCTCCAGGCAGGACTCCTGCCACCTACAACCAGAGCTCACGAATTATTGTGACAACAACGCTACGAGCCAAGTAAGGAAGCTAATGCGGCTTTCTGGGGGTAAAGCCTGAGGCATATCACTTTTACTTCGCGGCTGCGCAGACACAGATAGACTCACACACGTGCGCAAGCACAACCCTGGACAAGTTGGCGTTGATGCCATGTGGACACTGGACTGACAATTCGAGGGGTCACCCAACAGAGTTGTACATACTCGTGCGCCCGTGGTCCGCCGCGTGCGCTCGCGCTTACTTGACGTAATGCGGCCATGATGCCGAGGCGCGCGAGGATTGACACTTGTGTCTTCCCAATCACAGCCTACGCCGCCCCCGTGTTGATGTATTTTTAAGGCAGGACCCATAGCAGCACGAAATCGCCGATCTCACGAACTAGGGCATTCTGCTAGGCTAGAACGGTTTCCTACGATAGAGTTTGGCACAAAAACGAAAATAACACGCTGTTTAGCGCACTGCGCTACGACGTCTTTCTGTTGCATTTTCGCATCTCCGTAATCGGAATAAGCCCCGCCTTCTTCGTTGATGGACACTGAATGGGGCGTCAACGGCGTGACCCGTTACTACGTGTAGGTGTTTGGCGAGACTGTTTGCTTTTTGTAAATAATGAAATGCCCGGCCGATGCATTTCGCATCGAACAGAGAAATTTTCTGCATTTTCACTCGCTGTCGGAAGTGAACGAGTGCGTCATTCATTGAACAATTCAATAAAACACACACAATGTTTGGAGCTAATGTTTACATGCCACAGCGCCATCTCTTGGATGTTTTATACGTAAATATGAGGATTTTCAATAAAATAATGCGTTTTTATATGTATTTACCACGATTTACGTATAGAAACTATATGTTATTTTTACTGATTTCTCCGTATCTTTCCTTGAAGTTTTCATCGTCTTTCAATGCCTTTCGGTAGGTTTTCTGCGTGATTATTATTTTGCGCAGGCACTCATTTTGGAAATCCTCCAACATCTTTACTTCTTCCTTAAGTTAGTCCATGTTTTACTGTTATTTAAGAAGGAACGTAAAACTGAGCATTCGTATAATTTCACTCTTGATTCTATAGTATGATTCCATAATTTTGCTCTTCTGCCCATAATAATATTTCCCTCATCATGAACCTACATTTTTCAGTTCGGACTCTTATTATATCGTCATAACCTCCTATATCATTAATTAAATCCCTTAGGTATGAATATTTGGTGACTTTTTTGTTTAGTTGGTTGCCTATTAATATCTCCTTCTCTATCCTATCTTTGTTTGTGAATTTTATAACCATTGTATTTGTTTTGTTCATATTAACTTCTAATCTTTTTGATTCAGCTAATCTGGAGCATGACTGAGCGATTTTTGTTACTGTTTTATAATCTTCAATTCCTAGAATATCGTCAATATATAATCATTAATTGTCATCTTCTAAAACTACAGACCATCCGCTGACCGCTGTGGAGACGTGCGCCGGGCCTCGAATTTGGCNGAAACCAAACCCGAATTGTCGGCAGCTGGCTGCATATTTATTATATAGCCTACATAAATTTCATTTACGGCGAATGAGCACGCCACTTTTTGAGTAGAACCCCCTGCGTTCATTCACCTCCAAAATTACGTATAGTTCAGTTCTATCAGGAGTAGATAAAGGGAAGTTTTATCTACTCCTGGTTCTATTCATATCGTATCGCGAGTAAAATTAGCATAATTGACAA